GGAGATGGCGAGGGCCGGCACGGGGATCTTCGGGGAGCCCAGCATGGCCGGGGTGCCCACGGGGGAGTAGCTGAAAAGCGCCGTGCCAAAGCTCTGCCGGCGCCCCTCTCGCCGGTTGCTGTCTATGGCGGCCTGGAGCTCGCCGGGGGAGCTGAGGGCTCGTTTCTCACATTCGTAGGGGTACAGGTATTTCATGTATCTGGAAGGGGGTGGGGGCGAGGGGGACGCAGAGGGGGATGAGCCCCTGGCTGTGATTGGTGGCATATTCCACCCCTCCCCCCTGCCGGCTGAGACAGGACCCCGGACTGGTTAATGATCCCATGTGGTTCACAGCAACGCTCCCATCCAAGGACAATGGCTCCCAGCCCCACACACCCTGTGCTCAGCTACGCAAGGCCCATAGGCGCCCACAGAAAAAGTAGCAGGTGCTGAGCACCCATTGGCAGCTAAGCTGCCCCCTCCGCCCCCACCCCACCCCACCCCGCCAGCGCCTCTCACCTGCCGGCGACCCCTCTGAGCAACTCCTCCCCCTCCCTCCCAGCGCCTCCCACTGGAGCTGCGGGAGGGAGGGGGAGGAGCGGGAACAGGGTGCACTCGGGGGAGGAGGCGAGGCAGGGGCTTGGGGGAAGGGGTGGAGTGGGGGTGGGGGCTGGGGCTTGGGGGAAGGGGTAGAGTAGGGGCGGGGCCTGGGGCGGAGGGCGGTCGAGCAACCCCTGGCTAGAAGGGAAGTCGGCGCCTATGGCAAAGCCTGTCTGGCGTTACCATTAATGACTGGGTTGCACTGTTGCCTAGGCAGTCCATTCAGCATCAAGGCCCCACAGTGCTAGGTGCTGCACAAACTCGTGCAAATCCACAAGGGGCAGAGTTAAGGTTAGGTGGGCAACCTTAACCCTGGCGTTTACTGACTTTTGAGCGATTCCCTTGGCAGCCTTGATGTTCTCTGAGCCACCCCTGGTCCTTCGGATCCAAAACCGGCGGCCTCTACTACCTGAGCTAAGGGAGAGTCCCCGCGGTGGGCAGAGGAAGGGCCTTCAGCGTCCCTGTGGGACGGCCACCAAAGGGCAACATCGTGCACACGCAGGCCATTATCCGTCATAACGACCACACCATCATCACTACTGCACCGGGTCAAACCTCCTGCGGGGAGCAGGAGCCACTGGGCTGGCACTGGGAGTGGGTCTGAGCACAGGAGTGATCCAGCTACCACCAGAGAGGGGTGGGACCCCCTCTCCAAAGCCTGCTCCTCCCAATCTGGCTCACTCCTTCCCTTAACACCCCCTTACCCACCCTCCAGACCCTGCCCCCTTGGCACCCCCCAGCCCAGCTCTCTCCTGCCCCCGTGCAAGGTGGCGGCAGCTCACTGCGTGCGGAGTGTGAACGCCGCGCTAGTGATGGACGTGGGGAGGTTGAGGCCTTTGGTGATCTCCCGCCAGATCTTCTTGTTGATCACTTCGACCAGGCCGCCCTTCTCGGTCACCAGCCGGTACAGCGTGTACAGGTCCAGCACCTGCTTGGCCATGATGGGGATTCGGTTCACTGGAGTCCCTTCAAGAGACAGAGACACAGAGAGAGAGAGAAAGGGTGCGAGTGAAAGAGAGAACGCGTTTGCACCGGAGAGCACGAGGGGGTGTGTGTTCACGTGTGTGCCAGGCAGAGAGAGGGAATGCAAAAGAGAGAGAGAGAAAGGGGGGCTGTCCGACATACACCATCACCGCCCGGCTTGGCTGCTTCCCGGAAAGAGCCCGCGGGCACAGTCAGTTTCACGCTGGTGGGAGAAGCTGGGCAGAACCAGGGGAAGCTCCCCCCCCTCGCCCCCAGCAAGACCCTGTCTGGGGGGCAGTGAGTCCCTGGTGGCTCTGTCAGCTCGAGGGCGCATTAGTGCTCGCTGGGCCAGCTGGTTCTGTAACACGGATGCACACGGAGCTAGAAACGGGGCTGAGATCAGCTCATCACAGCCTGGCTCTGCTCCCCGGGCCGGACGGGAATCAGCGCCCCCCAGAGGTGAAAAGCTTTAGAAGCGAAGTCCCCGTAGGGTGCCCCCCCCACAACGAGGCAGAAGGCGTTCGCTCGTTCCCAGCCCCCTTCCCTGGGAGGGCAGCCTGTAGGGTAATTGCACGGCTGCTGGCTCAGGCAGGGGGCCCAAGGGGACGAACCTGAAATGTCACCAAAGAGTCAGGAGTGAAGTCACGGGAGCAAACCCTAAAAAGGCCCGGATGAAAAAAAGTAACTTTGCTCGGCTGCTGGAGCTTCCAGCAACCCCACGTCCCAGCAACAGCCCCCAGCGCAGGGCACGAGAACGGCACGAGGCCGAGGGCGGGAAACTTGGCCAGAGCCCAAAAGCCTCCTCCAGTCTGGCAGCTCTGGTACAGATTGCAACCGCCATCCGGTTCAATGCTGCCTCAGGCCTGTGGGCACACAGAGCTTGGCAGGTGGCTCTGCGCAGCACGCCAGGGCCACGCCGAATCCCGCAGCGACGGCAGCGACGGCGCTCACCTCCTCCTGCTCCAGTTCTCAGCCGTGTGCAGGGTTTATGAGACGCAGTGGAGCAGTTCCGGCTCTGACCTGTAGAGGGCAACGGTGCACACGCGAGGTGTGGAGAACTTGGAGGCGTTAAGTCAGCGCAAGGTGACTTTGTGTTAGCCACGACTCGAGTCACACGGTAAATGGGGCGGCCTCAAAGCACACAGCTGCGGAGGCTGCAATTCCACGGGGCGGCTCCTGGGGACTCAGGCTTTGCTCGCGGGGGGAGCAGGTGCTAGCGGGACCCCCGGGCTAGAAGAAGAGCTGCATTATGTCCCATTGGGGGGTGTCCCTCCTTACCCAGAGCCGCTCCGGGCTCCGGGGCTGAGCAGCAAAGCTTGGTTCTGGAACCAGAGCTGCATCAGATCATTCTCCCGATCCGGACGGGTTTGATCCAGGGCTTCTGCTTGGCCCAGACAGACCAAAGACGAAGAGCTCAGGCCCTGCCACATGGCTAGTAAGAGATTCCTGGATCTGACCCAGGAGCGGGACTCCAGCAACGATTCACGGCAGGCTAGAAGCTGCTGGCGGATCCCTGCCACGGACGTCACGGCGTGACTCGCGAGGGCTCTTTGCCAAGTGCCCTCCAGGTCCCTTTGCCAAGTGCCCTCCAGGTCCCACACAGCCGGGCTCCCTCTGCCCGCCTCGAGGACTGAGCCAAGCGCCACGGGAGGCTATGGGGGAGGGACCAGGCCCTTGGAAAGCAACCGGCATTGTGGCTACGGGCAGCGGAGGCTTCGGGTGTCCCTAGGCACCAGCTGGGACCCCAGGCAGCCCTGGACTAAGCCAGCCCAGCTGCCCCTGGTCTCAGCGGTGACACTCAGTAATGCCAGGGCTGGATTCGAGCTAGCAGCTGGCCGTGCGGGATGGCAGGTCACAGCTGCAGAGCGGCGCGGGCGTGGGAGCAAACAAAGGATCGCGAGGGTGGGGTTCAAAACCTCAGTCTCCTCCTGACGCCGAGGGCGTCTACACAGCTCACCACGCCGGGCTCTGACTCAGGGCTGAGTCAAGCCCCCCTTCCGTCCACACACAGATCAGTGTGTCCTCGGGCCCTGCCAGGGGGAGGGTCAAAGCCTGAGTCCCGCCCGCTGGGACAGTCCAAGCCCTGTCACTTTGCAGTGTGGACGCAGCTCAAGACGAGACCTGTGCAGTGCTGAAAGGCCATGGTAGCACGGCTGGGAGCCCCCGTTTATGCTGCCGTGTGGACGTACCGTTAGTGCCCTGCTCTAACCACTCAGCCACACACCCTCCCCACGACAGGCCGAGAACCCAGGCGCTCCGGCTCCCAGTGCCCGGTTCTAGCCCCCGGCAGGAGAGGCTCGCTGGTGCTAACGTGGCGTGTGGCTCTGGGGCAGAGCGGCTGCTCCCTGCCAGGCCTCTCTCCGCTTCTAAATTGAAATCAATTCCAATAACCCTGCTGCATTGACAGCTCCTCCTGCAGCGCCCAGGGCTAATTACTGTCCTCGGCGGCCCCCCCGGAGCCCCCTGCAGCCCCACACCAGCCCTAGCCCCACGGCATGGCACAGGTGGGATTTACCCTCCCCGCTGCCTGCTCTCCACCCCCGCAGCAGGGATCACAGGGCCCCCGCCCCTCTCTTTCCTCCATCCAAGGGGATGCCCCAGCCTTTCAGAGCAGCCGCTCCCGCTTGCCCAGCCCAGCTCCCGGCTGGAGGGCTCCCTTGAGGGCCTCCCCCCGGGTCAGGGGCTCTGGGGCCTGACCCGCCCTCATTAACCTGGGCTTTGCCTTCCCAGTTTTACGGGGCTGCCTGGATTTATGGCTGGAGCCCTCAATAGGCAGCGAGAATTACAGCTGCTCTGATGGGGAGGGCAGGGGGAACCGAACCAGAGCCCCACGGGCCCTGCCATCACCTGGGCCTTTGCCCACCCTCCCCAGACCGCAGCAGGGGGGTGGCTGGCATGAGCTCCCGAAAATAATGCACCTGAGGGATGGGGGGAACCCCTGGCTGGGGGAAGGGACTGACCGAAATCCCCATCTGCTAGGAGTCTGGGGGAGGGGTCCCTGGGGTTCTCCTCTTTCTACCCCCCCAGAAGCTCCCCAGCATGTTCTGGATTTTCCCCCTAGGAGAACTGGGAGCTTCTCTCTCCCACTGGGCTGGGGAGCGAGTGGTCAGCAGGGTCACTGCAGAGGGAGGTGAGACCTCCCTCCGCCCCCCAGGTGTGGCGCTCCTGGTCCCTGCTGCACCTAACTCTTGATCCCCCATGGTCGCGGTCAGCTGGGATCGGCTGCCGGGCTGGGGAGGGAGGGGGGGGGCTTGGTTGTGCTCCCATGATCAGAAAGCTCCAGCGCTAAGGAGTGTGCCCCGGTCTGCATCAGTGCCCCGAGTCCCCCCAACTCGGCTGGGCCACGAACCCAGGGTCGGCCTCAAAGCTGGAGCAAGACCCAGGAATCCACGTGGGGCTAAACTCCCCTGAGGGCCTGGACGGTGGCAAATATCACCTTGGTCATGAGTGTCCCCCCTCCCCAGGATCACAGCCCTCCCTGCCTGGCCCCTGGATTGGCACGCTCTGGCTGGATCGCAGCACGGGGAGAGAACAGCAGCTGAGACGCAGAGGTCACCCACACACACACCTCACGGAGGCTGTGCCCTACGTGTCCTAGAGGGGTCGATGGGTTTGACAGTCTGCCTCCAACAGGGGCTAGCGCCAGATGCTTCAGCAGAACATGGGAAATCTCTGTAAAGCGCCTGTAGCAGCTGAGGAAATTCCTTCCTGACCTCAGTTACCGGGGATCTAGCTGTGCCCTGGGACATGAAGATTCCTGGCTCCTGTAGCTTTATTCACTCTAGTAATTATTTCCTTACTAACCTAACTGCAGAGGTGGCTCTTATTAAAGAGACATCTAATTCCCTTACTGAATCTTACTGTTTGTCTCCATAATATCATGAGGCAGTGAGTTCCACAGGCTGACTTGATGTTGTTTGTAAAAGTCCCTCTCTCCCCCATGAGCGTTCTTGCTGCTTTCCAGTAGATACCACCTCCAGATGTCACTGTTAGGAAAGAAACCCCCCTCCCCCATGTTCTTATCAGAGCCCCGAAAACACCCCTTTCCCCAGCCATGTGGCATCATGTCTCACTGTTCTTCCGCCTGTTGACGGCCAGTGGGACACTCTGCAAACGCTTTCCTACAGATGGCCAGAGGGCTGCGCCATGGAGCATAGGCTCAAGGCCAACAGACCATGGACCAGCGGTTCCCACCTCTTTGACCTCTGGCAGGGAGGAGCCGTAGGGCACTGACGATGGTATCTGACCCTTGCTGTGTTGCTGCAGGTTCCCTGCTATCCCTGACACATGCACTCCTCCCCAGGGCCTGTCACGGGGGGGGCAGAGGGTAAGTCCTGCTCCGGACCGGCGGCCCTGGAGAGCCAGGCCCTGCATGGGCCCGGTCGTAGCGGGACCAATGAGACCAGCACAGCCAGGGGGGCTGGGGAAGCAGATGCCCCAGTTCAGTGTCACGCAGGATCACACACCGTATCCAGACACGCAGCGAGAGCCGTGCACCCCCCCATCGCAGTGCAGGGCTCGGGCTGCCGACCGACGCGCCCGCCCGCAGCGACGCCCCCCTGGCTTCCACACTTTGCAAACTCCGCGCCGGCCGCTCTGTGTCACGGCGCCGGCTGCCGCTCGGGGAGAAGGGTCCCAGATTTATTCCCTTCCTTTCTTCGGGGCGGGCCGCGGCGCGGATCGAAAAGCCATCCATTCCGCTCGCCGAGATGTCACAGGCGCGCTCGCCACCTCAAACGAAACCGTCACTCACGGCAGCTTTCCCGCAGCCCTAATTTATGGCCCCGATATTGGCTTGGCTTCTTCTCCTACGCCTGAAAAATGAGCTCCCTTTCTTCCTTTACTGCCGCCATCGAACTCTGGTGTCTGGGTGATGGCAAGCGGCTTTTGTTCGTTCTCCCCGTCTCGCCCTGCAAGCAATTTTCTCCGTGCTGCAGCCGCGCTGCTCAGCTCCCCCGTCCACGGGGGCGGCAAGCCCCCTTCCTTGTGCTGCCCCAGCACCG